AAAGGTCCTCTCAGCCATGTAGCGCAGACCCTCCTACCAAAATCAAGGCAGGCAGTGAATATGAAGTAGAGCACGGGCTGGCCGAATATATACTCAAGATTCGAATTCAGGTCTGTGTTTCAGCAGTTATGGGTTGCTCACGTAGCTAGGGTCTGTTGGTCTCTGCACGTCACTCTTAGGGCTTGCCTGCACTACTCACCAAATGTGCAAAACTAGAATGAATCTTCTGCAGAACATGGAATAATACGCCACCATATGTTTTGTCTTTTGTGCATGTGGTGAGTATAGGCCCTTAGGGCCACTGCACGTATGTGCCTCCTCGACCTCGCTACCCCCCGTCCTCCACTTCCTCCCGATCGCGATCTTCCTTCTCCTCCTCCTCCTCCTCATCCTCCTACTCATCGCGATCTTGTTCCTCCCTCTCCTCCTCCTCCTCCTCCTCCCATCGTCGACAAACTTACTGAACGATTCCAAAGCCTAAAAGAAAAAAAGAAAAAAAAAAACCCTGACATGACGATGGAAGAGCAGGAAGAAGATCGCAATAGTAATTGTTACATATGTTTGTCGGCTAAGGGAGGAGGAGGAGGAGGAACAAGATTGGGATGGGAAGGAGGTGGAGGAGGAGTGGGAGGAGGAGGAAGAAGATTGCAATCTTCTTCCTCCTCTTCCTCCTCCTCCTCCTCCTCCTCCTCCTCCTCCTCCTCCTCCTCCTCCTCCTCCACCCATAGCTAACAAAAATATGTAACCGTCGTGACGATTCCAAAGCCATTAAAAAAATAAAAAATGAAAACTGGTGTGGCGATGGAAGAGGAGGTAGAAGATCGGGATGGGAAGGAGGAGGAGGAGGAGGAGGAGGATGGTGATGGGGAAGGAGGAGAGGAGGAGGAGGAGGACAAGGGGAGGACAAGGGGGAGAAAAATCGGCTATGAGAGGAGGAGGAGGAGGAGGAACAGATCAGGATGGGAAAGAGGAGGAGAAGGAGTGGGAGGAGGAGGAAGAAGATCGCAATCTTCCTCCTCCTCCTCCTCCTCCCTCCCATCCCGATCTTGTTCCTCCACCTCCTCCTCCTCCTCCACCCATAGCCAACAAAAACATGTAACCGTCATGACGATTCCAAAGCCATTAAAAAAAAAAAAAAAACTGGTGTGGCGATGGAAGAGGAGGAAGAAGATCGGGATGGGAAGGAGGAGGAGGAGGAGGAGGAGGAGGATGGTGATGGGGAAGGAGGAGAGGAGGAGGAGGAGGAGAAGGGGAGGAGAAGGGGGAGAAAAATCGGCTATGAGAGGAGGAGGAGGAGGAGAAGGGGTAGAAAGATCGGCTATGGGAGGAGGGGGAGGAGGACGAGGGAGAAGAGGGGGAGGAAGAGGAGGAGGAGGAGGATGGCAATGATGGAAAGAGGAGGAGGAAGAGGAGGACGAGGATGAGGAGGAGAAGGAGAAGAGGGAGAAAGATCGGCTATGGGAGGAGGACGAGGAGGACGAGGAGGAGGAAGACGAGGACGAGGAGGAGAAGGAAGAGGAGGAGGAGGAGGAGGAGGAGGAGAAGGGGGATAATGATCGGCTATGGGAGGAGGAGGAGGAGGAGGAGGAAGAAGAAAATGGCAATGGGGAAGGAGGAGAGGAGGAAGGAGTAGGGGGAAGGAGGAGAGGAGGAAGGAGTAGGAGGAAGATGGCGATGGGGAGGAGGAGAGGAGGAAGATGGTGATGGGGAGGAGGAGGAGGAGGAGTAAGATGGCGATGAGGAGGAGGAGGAGGAGGAGGAGGATGGCGATGGGGAGGAGGAGGATGGCAATGGGGAGGAGGAGGAGGATGGCGATGGGGAGAGGAGGAGGAAGAAGACGCTAGGGAGTGTCGTCTTCCGTCTCCCTCCCATCGCCAGTTTTCTCCTCCTCCTCCCCATCGCGATTTTCTCCATCCTCCTCCTCCTCCTCCTCCTCCTCTTCGTCCTCCTCATCACCATCATGTCATTCCTTGTCATCATCGCATCGCCATCTTCCTCCTACTCCTTCTCCTCTCCATCGTCATCTTCTTTCCTCGTGCGCCTCCTCCGCCTCACAATCTTTCTCTTCCTCCTTCTCCTTGCCATCTTCTTTGTCCTCTCAATCACGACCTTCTTCCTGTTTCTCCTCCTCGTCTTTCTCCTCCTCCTCCTCGTCCTTCGTCCTCTCCTCCTTCCCCATCGCCATCTTCTTCCTGCTCCTCTTCCTCCTCCCATAGTTGATCTTTCTCCCCCTTATCCTCCTCCCTCTCCTTGCACTCCTCCTCCTCCTCCCGATCGTGATTTTCCCCCTCCTCCTCGTACCCATGCCGATCTTGTGCCAACTCCTACTCCTCGCGATGTTATTCCTCCTCCTCCTCCTCACGATCTTGTCCGTCCTCCTCACAGTCTTGTTCCGCCCGATAGGTTGTCGGAGCGGGACGAGGAAGAAGATCGGCTGGAGGAGGAAGAGGAGGAGGATGATCGCGATAGGAGGAGGAGGAGGAGGGACTCCGAGGGGGCAAGAAGATCGTGATGGAGTACGAGGAGGAGGAGGAGGAGAAAGATCGGTTGTGGGAGTAGGAGGGGGAAGAAGATCGGCTGGAGGAGGAGGAGGAGGAGGAGGAGGAGGAGGAAGAAGAAGATCGCGATAGGAGGAGGAGGGAAGAAGAAGATCGTGATGGAGTAGGAGGAGAAGGGGGAAAAAGATCGGCTATGGGAGGAGGAGGAGGAGGAGGAAGAAGAAGATGGCAATGGGAGTGGAGGAGAAGAGGAACGAGAAGAAGGAGGAGGACTCCGAGAAAAACAAAGAGGAAGAAGACCATGATGGAGGAGGAGAAAGGAGAACATGATGATGAGGAGGAGGATGGCGATGAGGAGGAGGAGGAAGATGGCGATGATGAGGAGGAGGAAGATGGCGATGAGGAGGAGGAGGAAGATGACGATGAGGAGGAGGAGGAAGATGGCGATGGGGAGGAGGAGGAGGAGGAGGAGGAGAACGAGCGCGATGGGAGGAAGGGGAGGGAGAAAAAAAATCATGATGGAGTAATAGCAGTAGGAGGAGGAAGAAGATCACAATGGGAGGAGGAGGGGGAGGAAGAAAGAAGATCTCGATGGAGTAGAACTTACCTTCATGGCGATGTTGACGACAATCGATGGCGACGGTTACTGCGCACGCAACGTGACACGCGATGGCGACGGTCGATGGTGATCAATGATGGCGATAGCCGATGAGCGATGGCGGCTCTTGGGCGCTCCCTCCACAAGACCCCCGACCGAACCTCTTCCTCGCGATGACCCAAAACCATGAATTCCGAAATAGTGGGTGGTCATTGCACACCCCGACCGGACCGCTTCCTCCCGTCAGTCCCGCGACCTCTTCCAGTGTCGACAACCCCTCCAAGCCAAAAACGGGCCCAGAAATGGCCCGCAACGACCGTATACGCGGGCCCCATTTTTGTGTACGCACATACGCGTCCGCGGTTTATACACACGTACGTGCATATACGTATGCACGTCCGCAAACCCCACGTACGTGTATGCCGTGCAACCCAGCTATGTACATAGCACAGTGGGAAGTATGTTTGGGTTCGATGGGCTTAAAAATGTCTTCTTTGAATCCTTATAGTACTACAAGCTAAAAGAGTTATGCCATTAACTTAGAAGTTAATCAATAAGTTGATAAGTTGGGACTTCGCCATGTGGCAAGGGAATGCTAAAGCCTAATCAATACAACAGGGTTGGGGTAGAAGAGTAGCGGTGGGTGTACTTCTTGTTGTTGATGGGAGATTAATCCCCTGTAACAAGACATAAATTTTATTTATCATTTATAACGTACAATTGACTCTTGTGTTTACAAGTGGTCAATAAGTCATTGAATATTCCTTAAAAGTAATTTAGATGCGATTTTAAAGTTTTTCATTTTTTCTTAAATCAGGATTCAGTTGCTTTAAGGGTGCTAAAAATGTTGACTGCCCCTCTTTGGATAAATGTTGAATATTTTGAAAATGTTCAAGAAGTGGAGATGTCTGAATGCATGTTGGCGTTAAAGATTCTGAAAATTTGAAAGGATGAAAATACTCAAAATTTAAACATTTGCCCTCAAGGACTCAGATGTATACCGATGATCAATATTTGAAAATTTTTAAAGTGGTGAAGATGTAGAAAATTTTGAATTTTCCTCCTCCCCCCCCCTTTCCCTTAATTTTTTTTTCTTTCAAAGAGAAGTGTTCATAGTTTTCAACTTCTTTTCTATATGCATATTAAAGTTGGAGATTCCAAAAATTATGAAGCAGTGAAGATGCTGGAAAATTTGAACCCAGCCTTGATCGTTGTTTCTTTTTTTGGGGGGGGGGAAGGGAAGAGGTGTTTAAAATTTCAACACTTAATTCGTAAATGTTCAATATTTGTAGACCTACTAATTTTTTTGCCGTCTTGTAAAAATAGAAAAAACTGACATTATTTTCAATCAGTCTCATAACCTATAAGTCTATCTTTGACGACGCGTGATGTATGCTATAGGAGTAAAACTCATTAGATGCCTTCAATCCTATTTCCCTCCCGCCTCATAAGTTATCCCTTGATGATTTATAGGCATATGTCTGAATGCATCTTGATATTGATAATTTGTAAACTTTGAAATTGAGAAGAATTGAAAAATCAGACACACTTGCCCTTGGGTGTTGAGACGTAGATTAATATTCAAGATTCTTGGAGTTTCAGAGTGGTGAAGATACCGAAAATTTTGAGACTCTTTCCTAGACTCCCTTCCATTGTTTTCTTTTTTCCTTTTTCTAAAGGTAGGCGGTGTTCATAATTTTCATCGGTTTCACCATTTCATTTTTTTTATGGTCTAGATGCTAGGCTACCAGCCGGGCCGCCCGGGTCCCCGGTGGCCAGCCCGTGCAAGGACCAGGGAAGGCCCCAGCAAAAAAAAAAAATCCAAAAAATGCCAAAAAAACCTATGTTATGCAGAAAAATAAACTAAACAACTTTAGCCTCAGGGTCACATCGAAATTCTTCACCAAATTTA